TAGATTTTTAGAAGAACTTATACAGATCTACATGATATCATGCCATACCTGATCTAAGATTTCATACATCGGTCTGTTAAATTAATTAATAAGCTATAAGTTAATAAGCTTTCCTGATGATCAGTACACTGACAATATTTATAACCAAATTTATATTTGGGCATAGAATCTGCATTTTCTAAACACTTTGATTCATCGTAATTATCGTTTCTCTGGTTTATAAATGAAAGTAATCACCACACAAAGATTAACTTTCACGACCCTACGTTTCAACACTCCGGTCTAGTGTCTTCATCAGGGGTGATCTGATGTCGAAACTCGGTTCCTTATATACTCTCAAGATGACGTCATCTATAAATTAGATGTAAATATTCTTTTTGCAAAATTTATTTGCAATATAATTTATAACTCATACTTTATTGACACTGTATATTAAATTATAATATTTGATATGATAATATTTAATTTTAATTAAATAGGTATGTGGAAAAAGTTGAGTGTACACTCAGTCAATTACCAGCTTGAACACATCAATCAACTTACCATAATAGCTTGTGGTTTAATATATACAAATTCATGCCAATTTGCTATAATGTCTCTGATAAGATGGCCTGTTTCATGCCCTCGATATTCCTGTACTTCCAGTTCATCATCTTCATCATCATTATCATCCATTGGCTCATTAAATGCAATTGCAATATTATGCAATATTGCGCATGCACCAATAAGCTGGCAAACCTTTTCCGGGTGCATTCTCACTTCTGAGTGCAGAAGATGGAATCGTCTCTTCCATCTACCAAATACTTGTTCAATTATGACCCGGGTCCTCCTATGGGCTTGGTTAAACCCCCTTTGATTTGCTGTGGCATGCTCATGATATGGTGTCATAAGGTATGGCTTCAATGCATAGCCACTGTCACCAAGCAAAATTCCCTGCTCCAAGTGGTTGTGGTTGTTCTCAAGCTGCTGGCATATTTGAGATGTGCGGAAAATGTGGCTATCATAGGTGCTACCAGGCCATCGAGCCACAATGTTTGTAAACCGTCCTATTAGAGGAGTATATTAAAAATGTAGTACATTTAAACGTGTGGTGTAATGGCTTTACTGATTCAAAAAGTTATTAATTAAACTGGACTAATCTTTTGGGACACCCAGTACAAGTAATAGCAGTGTGATTATATATAATTATGATACAGTATCAGTATGTACCTTCATGATCACAAATGCCCTGTACGCTGATATAGAGTGATAGCGCTTCCGGTTCACGTAATTATTCTCGTTATGATGTGGCGCCTGAATTCTGATGTGTGTACAGTCAACACAACCAATCACAGACGGCAAGCCAACTTGTGCAAAAAAGTGGTTCTTTACTTTCTCGATTTCGTTTATTGAAGACGGCCATTTTATGAAATCATTTCGTCTTCTATTCAGTGCCAAAGTTACATCTCTGACCGTTCGAGACACCGTTGATTTGTCGACACCGAAACTATCTCCAACAACTTGTAGGAAACTGCCGGAGGCATAAAATCTCAAGGCAATTAGGACTTGTTGTTGTGGCTCAAGTGCATGGCCTCCCTGCGTATTGCGAATTAAATCTTCATGCAGAAGGTTTGTAATGTAATTTAATTATTGCGTTTCTGCCAAACCTATACCTTGCCCTTAGCTCATCGTCGTAAAGGCCGTCAATATTTATGCCACGTAGACGATATCGTCTTTCCCGACGAGGATGATTTATTCGAAACAAATTAAGAGGAAAGGCTGCCATGTTTAATTTGCGAACTTGATACGTTAACCTAGGGTTAAGTAAGTTAACCCATCTAGCGAGGAGGGTTAAAGTTAACCTTTCCTTTAACCTAGGGTTAAAGATAGCCCAGTTTTGAACAACGCAAAGTAATCCAGAGTTAAAATTTAACCCAGTGTTAAGCAAATTTAACCCTGGGCTAGCGTAACCGGCTTTTGAACAACCGGCCCTAGGAACTTTATAACTTTATTGCTTGTTGTATCCTGATATGAAGATAGTTTGCATGAATCCGAGAGCAGAAAAGCCATTTACGTTGAAAGAATATAAAGCCGAGTTGGGGAAACCATACGAAATTAAGATTTACTTTATAAGTTTGCAAACGAGAGGACTACCTTGCACTACCTACAAACGAGAAGAATACGAAGGCTTTGACGAAGATGATGAAGATTAGGTTAATTAAGGCATTTTCTTAAAGTATGGCAGTATGCCGAATGAGAACAATTGGTAGGCTCAATAGTAAAATCAGTGGGTATATTAATAAAGATTAATAGTAATATCAACTTTACCTTTCATTGAAGTGAGGAATATTTTGTGTAGTATGACTATGTCATACTTTTGAACAATGAATAGAAGAAAATATTGCTGAATGTATACTCTATTTGTTTCTTCTTTTTAAACTAAAAACAGGAATTTAATAAAGCCAAAAGAATTTGCTGGTATTGTTGAATTGTATCTCAATTTTCTCCCGAAGAGATTTTGATATTTGCAATACATATATAATTGTAATTATAAAATCTAGTATTAAAATGAATTTTAAAGCATACATATTTCAACTTTTTGGTGACAATTCTATGGTTACAGTTAGTTCTCCAATTTGTGGTGGACAGAGTTTCAGGTACAATAGAAAGGTTAAATATTACCATAAGGATGAATAATGCATTAATTCTTTATTTATTTCTGATTAATTATTAATTTTAATTAATTTATTTCTAATTAATCTTGTACTCCGTGGTATGTCTGGTTTAAAAGCTGAAGTGATTTTTCTGTTTATATTTGTGATTTTTAATTACAATATTTCAATTTTTAGTGATGATTCTATGCATGGCTGCAGTCCAAATTATGGTGGACATAGTTTCAGGCACAATAAAAGCATTTAATATTGCCATAAGGACTAATAATGTATCAAACTATTTCTATTAATAGTGTACTGACTCCATGGTATGTCTGGTTTAAGAGCTGAAGTAATTTCACTAATTACTGAGCATATTTCAAATTTTTAGTGATAATTCTATGGCTCTCCAAATCCTGGTGGACAATGTTTCAGGTACAATAAAAAGATTTATTATTGCCATAAGAAGGAATAATGTATCAAACCATTTTTACTAATATTGTACTCCATGGTAAGTCTGGTAGCAAGGGTGAATTTCACTTTTGACCAATCAGGGCATTTGGAACGATTTTCAGTTTTGATTGTTCTTACAGGTGCATGAGCAGCCGGAGTTGTAAGAAAGACGTGATTAAACTTGTCAAGTTTGGAATTGACATTAGGGTCTGCAAAAATAGAAATAAATTCTTCGAATCTAGATGCAAGGTGGGCAGCAAACCTTTCACGGTCGTAGTTCTTATAGCTGCGCGCTAAGATATATTGTGGTGATTGCTTAGGTAGCTTCACATTGAGGACTGCATATACCGGTAAGTGATCGCTTGCCGCGTAATATCCATGACGCCCCTTTCAATAACAAGATTGAATGATGTAGTTAATATTACGTCAATTATCGATTCGCTTGTGTCTGTTATTCTAGTTGGTGTTTTGATTAATTGATTCAAGTTCATTTCAAGCATGAAGTTTCCTAATGCTGTGTTCTCTGGACAGCTCTTCATAACATTGCAATTCAAGTCTTCCAATATAAAAATAGGCTTATTTTGAAGAAAGGCTTGGATAAAGCTCGGCTTTAAGTCAGTGTCTAAGCAGAACAGTGGACACTCTGGTGGTCTGTATGATATACATATTATAATTTTAACTTTTTACTCCGGAGTTTCAACCACAGTTGGTGGAAAAGATTTTCAGAAACGAATGATATTTCTTTAAGTTTAAATGCTTTAATGCCATTACGAATGTATGCACATACACCACATCCACGTTTATGTAGGCGATCCTGTCTAAATAAGGTATAACCCTGGATGGAGATCTCAGCATTCGTTATCGTAGAACTCATCCATGTTTCGGATAATGTGAAGACTTCGAGTTTTGTTTCAGAAAGAAATTCCTTGAGCTGTACCATGTCAGTAGCATTGCATAACGATCTAATATTCAAATTAACTATTTCAATATTGACTACTTTTGCTGTTTTTTCGTGAATGTTATTCTTACTAATATCAGAGGTAGTATTCGAACTGGCGATGTTCGAACGGGAGTATACATCTAATAATGGAATCGGTATCATATAGCATTCTGTCTTTCGATATTCTCCGTGTTCGACGGGGTGGATTCGGCTTCCGTTTGGGTTCTATACGAAAAAAAATCTTTATTCAATCCATTAAGGTTAGTACTATTCGGCTGTTCGGATTGATAGCGCCATGCTCGTTGATCGTGATGGACATGACGTCTGGAATTTTTCCTTCGGACTCGAAGGGGTTCTGCTCGATTTGTAATGCGAACGGGGATATTATTAATATGGTCGCGTTGCCGGTGACCTTTTGTTGCGGTGTTTGAGATTCGTTGTTTGGGCTCTTTTGATTTATAGATGTTTTGGTTGTTTTAATTATATGTAAACGGCATTGTGATGCTGATCGTCAACATCGCTTGTTTGATTGCAATTTCCCCCCTCTTTACGGATTGTGTGACGTACCATCCACCAGACGCAGATGGCAACGAACTATATGAGTATATGATTTACATTTACATTTTTATTTATACATACTTTGCGCTCAAATTTCCATACGCTCAAATGAAGCTAGTGCCGTTTGCGCTGTTTAATGGAATCTTTAAATCGATATAAATTATTTGAATCCCCATTTATAGCAAGGAACATAAACATAAACATATTGTCGGGATTTATCTTACCGTCCACCATAACTTGTAATTCATCACTTCCTTTATGCTCGTGAATTTTACCGCTTTTTCAAAAAGTGATATAACATGTGGTCTGGAAGTGGGAACTCTGATGAAGGAAAACGTGATAGGATATATAATTATCAAGATTATGGAAAAAAGAAGTATAATCTTTGTGATCGTATAAACTTTTATACTGTTATACTGTCTTCAACAATTATTATGATACATTAGTCATGTTGAATCGAGAACTGATTTCAAAACTATAGTGACGGGTAGATTGTTACTAATGAGTTCTGCAGAAAATCATAATTTTTTACAAAATTAATGCTCTGCAGCTAGCTACACAAATTAAATGTATTGCTCTGAATGCATTCGTAAATTACAGAATTTGTTATGTTTGGTTTACGATCGTTTTCGCGAACCTATATAAAAATGTACTGGATCATCAGTCATAGTGCATGAACTGTGGCAATAAAGGCAAAGTTTCTGAGTAAAAACCTAAATTAAGAACTTTAGTACGACAATTCAAGAGGATAACTTTGAAGTCACAAGCCATGTTTTTCTCGATGTGTGCCAAATTTAAATCCTGAACTGAATAAAGGCATATGTATGTGAAAAACAGGTTATCACATGATAAGCTCGGTGATACCAGCTTATCACTCTGAGTTCAAATAAGAATACCCCAATCCTAAGTTCATCCACTTTGATCATACACCTAATTGCATGTTTATTGACGTTTCATAATGCTATATATCTTCTATACGCCTTGTTCTAACCCGTGTAGATTGTACCCGTATTTAACTAGTTCTTTTAAGACTAAGTGTTGCTGATGGGAGAAAAATTGCCTTATTATTCCTAGATTCGATATCGATTATATCGCTCTACAGTATTGAGTTATTTAGATATCAACATAAGTGTAGTTATTCCCGTCTTGTGCAGCACTCTCTGGTTCGTTGTCGCTTTGTAGAAGGTTAATATCATCTAGTTCATGCATGGTGTTTGGCAATTGGTGATATAAAATTCGGTTGAACCTTCGACGACGATAACACGCCAGCATACATGCAATGAAAAGGCCAAAGAGGAGTCCAGCTCCAGCGGTTATTGCAAATATATACCACTTAGTTCCGCCTTTGGATTTTTCTGAAAATGAGAATGTGCTTGGTTGATTAAGTTAGACGGTTCAGATAAAAGTCATAACCAGAAATTCAGGACATTACTGAATTACCATAAAAGTTCATAATGATTAATTACTATAAAAGTTCTGAATGGCCAAATTAAATCTTACAAAAGTAGAATTGCCTTGCAAGTTGCAAGAAAAAATGCACCGTGTTAACATCTCACCATTTGCGTCGGAGACTTTTAAGACAAATTCACTTCCTGGCCAGAAATTATCCGTGTGAAATACGATGGTCAGATTTAGTCCAGATGATACCAGTTCTCCAGGCAATTTGTCTCCACAATACCGCATGAAGAAATGACCGTCATAAACGGTCAAATGCTCATAGTTACACTCATCACTACTTCTCAGCTAAATGAAGATGAATTATAACACGATAGATTGATTTTAATCAGTTGTCATTGTCAGTGGCGTAGCCAGCCTGACGATTTTGTCCCGCTATGTAAATTTCGAGTTATTATAATTATTCATGTCTTTAGAAATCTATTGTTTTCACAGTCAGTGAACACCAAAATATTAGCATAGCGGGCGGACAAATCGACAGGCTGGCTACGCTACTGGTCATTGTCATATTGATCAATAATGATCGATATATGAAGTGGTTAGTTTGTTGCATTGGTCATTCGAAGAAAAAAAAATAGAACTGGCCATTTTATAGCCGCCCTCCTTAGCACGAGTTTGTAAGGGATTTGGGTTTGTAAATATTCGCTCCGCAAATAATTTTTGAAATTGACCTCCTCCAAATTGGAATTTCAGATTTGGGTGAAAATTTTGGTGTGGAAAATTTTGATGGCGCAACTCGCGAGATTACAATTAATCTGGGAGGAAATAAAGTAATTCACCTCTGCCCATGCATTCTGGAAAAGTCCCTGCATGGATGAGGTCTTTACGACTTAATTGACTTTACGACTTCATTTCTATGAGCAAATACTTTTTAACTTAACCGTTTTTCTTTAAACCGGCTTTTTTAAAATTTTTGATATTATTCCCGAGCCGGTGCGGAGCACCGTGCGAGGGTACTAATTCCGCTCGGATATTTACACCCACGATGTGCAAATGCGAAATCAAAGTTGTCCGCCATTATGCAATGGACCTCACGCCATGGACGGTCTTCTACGTTATGCGCATGCGCCAGTGTGAACTACTAAGCTCTTGATTGGTTGAGATCAATGAATAACTGTCATTTCGCAAAATTTTAATGAAATTCATAAATTTATGTTTTCATATATATCGAATATATGTATTTTTAATTAAATTGGTCGGAAACTCGAATGTGGTCAGGACTTTTCACGGTTTAACAAATAACAAGACCAAATTTTCGAGTTTCGACCGAATTTACCGTGTATAATGAAGTCGGAAGATTTTACACTTGGTAATAGAGAGGTTAAGATACCCTGGTTTCGGTACACGGGTACGGGTAGCCATATTTTACTCATTGGAATTTCTTGTTGTTTGCACGTTTCGTGATACAAATCATGCTTACCTCAAGAGGCTAAAGTCTACTGGAAATAAATTGTCAAGGTAATCTTCGAAAAAATTGAGAAACAATGAGGGAAATTCAGTGAACAAAATAAGGCTACCCGTACCCGTATACCGGAACCGGGGAATCTTAACCTCTCTACTATTTCATCCGGCACGGCTTTAAAAAGTAATTCTTTTGTGGTAAACACAACTTTAATATTCTCAGTACTTCACTATAAATCTGAATGTGTTATGTGATAAACGACATTATAATTTCATTTATAAACTCCGTTTTCATAATGAGAAAAAGAAAAGAAAATCAAAACATTCCCGTGCAAAAACCGGTCGAAGCGTAACTTAAAACTTTGGAAGTTGTATGAGACGTCTGATGTTATATTTCATGGTAATTTTAATTAAAATAATTTACCATAACACTGACTATAGATGAGTAACTTAAGTAGGTAGGAATCTCGTCGTATTTTTGCCATTTTTTCACAAAAATATGAGGGTAAACTTTGATTCTTTAAAAATATACGGCCGTTGCGAGTTGCTATGACTACAGTATTTCCACGTGCAGAAAAATATTTCCATACTTTTCTCAATTTCTTTTTCTCACTATACCATGTACCCTCCAAAACCCCCAACCCACATAAATTTTCCAACAATCATGTTACCATCCCTATGCTTAACTAATTTCGTTCAACCGAGGCGAGGGGTTGCTGCATGCATGTATTTCTAGTAATATTTGTATTCACGCAGTCGACTGAGCCTTGAAATGACTGTTTATCCCCGAGCCGGCGCAGAGCGCCGTGCGAGGGCACTAATTCCGCTGGGAGATTTATTAGACCCGGGTATTGTGACAGAACACAGCGGAATCCAAAGTCGTTCAAATACTACTATGTCATGTACGGTCGACGTTGGGTGGTTTTGTTAGTTATGCGCATGCGCGAAGTACTGGTAATGAGTAAAGACTGGTAATCAGCAACGTCATGATTGGCTAAGGCGGGAAGTTTGTATTTAATGAAAACGTCAGCAAATTATTTAACTATCATTTCGCGAATTATTTTGTAAAAAAATTATATCACAAAAGTATGAAATTGAGCACAAATACTTGTTAAACAATGCGGATAAAATTTGAGACTGAGTGATTAAAGAGGAATGATACATAATCTGTACTAAGCTGCCAAGTCTTTTAAACAGTTAGGAGTCTTTTGTGTTTATTCCGTATTTGCTGTATTAAAAAAGTGCAGTTTATTTGTAGACGATATGAGCTTGATATGTTGTTTTTCAAAGATGTAACCGGCCACGAAAAGCTATCACACCATTGTTTTACCTTCAAAAGGTCAGGTAAGGTAAGGGTTTTTAAATTTTGCATTTGAATTTCGAAATTCATTTGAAATTCAGAGCTTTTATATTCGACTACAAAGAAAAGCATTTGACGTTTAGGCCCTGAAGATTTTGTAATGTTTTGACGTTTTGAAGGTTGAATTTTTAACTGTAAGAGTCCATAAATTGATTTCCAGGTTCAAGTAACTGAAACACGGGTGATGTTAACTTCAGTTTTATGACTATATTTGATTATACATTTGATTCCAAATAATAGTAAATCGTTTATCGACTCATTTGAGTCATGTTACATTTATACAGTACTGTCCAAAGATAACCTAACAACACCCGCGGTGAACCTAGGTCAAACCTCGGTCTGATCACGGTTGAACCGAGAGGTCACGAGGTCCAAACGCGGTGAGACGGAGATTAAACCTCGGTCTGACAGACATTTCTTAAGATTAGAAGCAAACGGCCAGTGTGAAGGTATTTTTCCCTTGCGGTCGTCTGTGGTTCCTATATCGGTCGACCGCGACCGAACCGCAACCTAACCCGAAGCGAACTGCGACCAAACCGTAGCCACAGTGTTAGGTTATTTCTGGACAGTACTGTAAGCAGTAGCGTAGCCAGCCTGTCGATTTGTCCCGCTATGCTAATATTTTAGTGTTCACTGACTGTGAAAACAATAGATTTCTAAAGACATGAATAATTATAATAACTCGAAATTTACATAGCGGGACAAAATCGTCAGGCTGGCTACGCCACTGACTGTAAGCTTAGTGCATGCATGTATTTCCAATCTTATTAAAATTTTCATTTCAAAAGTAGCGAAAGCTTTGTATTTGTGACTATTGAATGATCGACTTTCCTGTCACATAAGTAAGATCCTTTATCAGCTACAACTCGAGCTGCTATCAAATTCAACTATAATCACCCAATCGAAGTAAAGTTCACCCGCGTTTAAAGTCATTTTTACATTCTCTTTCATTTAATATTACCAGTCAATCGTTTATATACGTTCTGGATGATGCGAGATAAAAAATATAGTAATTTTAAAAAGCTTTAAAATGGAAGGCAATTGCTATTGATGTGAACCAAAATTTTAGAATCAGCTGCTTGCACGTCGTTACTGTCACCAGTTTCTACCTTCGTATAAATTATGCATAACGTACAAAATCACCTAACCTCTAACTGTGTTTTCAGGGTGGTCAACTTTTTAATTCGCAACAACAATTCGCATTTGAATTCCTATAGGTGCAATTAAAATCACCTGGTAGAATAATAACCTCGCACGGCGCTCCGCACCGGTTTGACACCCCGAAGTCCATGACATAAAATATGGACGACTTTTAATTTTGCTTTTCCCGCGGTAATTCGAAATACTCGGAATCAGTATCCTAGCTTCCACGGCGTTTTGGGGAGAAGAACAGATAACATAACCTACCGAGAATTGCGAAAATTGGAGGAGAATATGCGACCCAGCAGTGCTAAATATTGTCCATACGCAGTCCATCTTAAGGCTCAGGGACATTAAAGCAGAATCGTCAAATTTGAGTGTCCCAGGCGTTTGCAGATGTGTTTTTCCACATGAATCTGCAAAAAAAATCGCACAAAGATATAACCTACAAAATTAATTAGAAAAAAAAAATATATATATATATAAACGTTAAATACTACAAGAAATTGTTTTTTTTTGAAATATTATATGCTTCTCTTTCCAAAAAACAACAAAAAGTTAGGTAAATCATAGCCTGAACACAGAACTTCGTTTCCTCCGCCTTAAAATTCGCGGGGAGAGACGCAAAGGCGAAAGAAAGGTCTGAGAAAAATTTGTCATAGGCTAGGGTATGTAACAAAGCTGAATGGCTAATTCACAGAGAAATGGCTTTTCATTGGCTAATTAACGCGCACATAAAGTTTTTGAAAGGTCGTTAACAATCATCAGCAATTAAGTGAAATTGACAAATATCTATTATTTTTCTATTTGAGTAGAGATTTTACGAACACCGAAATGGCCGCGGATGTGCTTGAATAGGGCCAGTGGGCCAGTAAAATGATATGATATTCGAGGGATAAGTAGAAAAATTGAAACGTCTCGCAACAACTGATACGCTCAACAAGGAAATAAGCAGTGCCTTTAACTTTGTAATCTATATTGTCAGTTGATAGGGCAAAAATAATATTGATATATGCTGGCACGATAGGATATGCCTCCACAGATATTAAAATCGATATCTGTGCATTCTTTTCAGTGAATTATAATTTTTTCCAATCTTACCGCTTACGTTTGCATAACGAAACGCAAACCCACATCGCTCCTTATATATACTATCCCTGTGATATACGATAGATAAACTCGGGCCAGATGATAACAGAAACATTGGGAATTGGCCGCCATAATATCGCCCCAGTTTTGCTGATTTAATAGAATCACCGTCATAAACATCCAAATATTCATATCCACACCGGCTAGTTTTCGTCTAAAGACAAAGCAATTATGAGCAATTTATATAATACAAGCACTATGCATGCAACATCAACAGTAACCGCAGACACGTTGAAAACATTTACATTCAGGAGGAGGTCAGCTGTCCTCAATTTAGAATGCACACATTGTGCAGTTTGCTCGCGAAATATGCACATTTTCCATTTTTCCGAAGCGTTTCTATAGTCTGCTTTCGAATTAACTAAAATATCTTCGTTATAAATTGATACAAAGCTTTTGAAAGAAATTGCCATGAAAACACCAAAGTTGACAGCAATTGAGTACATTTTTGAAAAGCGCAAATGCGATAGTAGCTATTCCTGAATTAATAATTCTCTTTATAAAAAACTTGCATTGATCTTGTTTTGAGATTTATGTCTCGCACTATATCCTGAAGGCCGAAATATATGGCTTAGCATTAGCTAAACATGTACTAAAACTCATTCCAGGACCATTTATATTTCAAATCGCTTCTTCATAAACAGTGCTTTCTAAAATATTAAATTCACGGGTATATAGCAACCGTCGCATGTCCTGAACATGACCGACATCGCTGGCGATGATCAGAGAAATATGATTGTATTATCACAGAACACTAAACCGTAAACAGCCGCTAACGTAACCTACCGATAAATGCAAAAATTCGAGGAAAATAGGCGTCCCATACACGTTAAAAATTCTCCATACACAGTCTACGTTCCTAGAGTATAAATCAGGGCTTTTGAGGGTGCCAGGAGTATACAGGTACGTTTCTCCGCATGAATCTGCAAAAAATAAAGCAACAGGTAACACATACACAGATTTTGAAACCTGACTGATTGCATGCTTTATCGAAACTGTCAAAGTTTTTCTTTTAGAATTTAGCAAAAAATACTAAAATATACTCTTTCACAAGTCTTGTTGAATTATTCTTTTTGCTTTTAAACGTCGCAAGAGTCAGACGTTGAAAATAGGTTGAAGGATCCTTACATAATTAATTTTTTTTAGCAGTTCTTGCACTCATACACCAGGTATTGGCTGATTAATGACATAATTATTTCCTCGTAACTGCAGATTTTCTAATCCGAATATATAACCAGTGGCGTAACGAACGAAGATGAGGCCCTTAGGTATATTTGGTGGGGGGGCCCTAGCTGTTTGTTATGTTTTCACTTGAAAAATAATTTGAGAGCTGAAGCTTGTAAATTTACATTAGTGTATTACTTCATTAGTTATTGAAGTAATAGAACATGGGTAATAGAATAGAATATTCAGCCATGGTCGATGGATAATCTATTATTTAATCTACCATCATTAATGCTGTATTTTCCTTTGCAGTCAACCTTATACCCTAGGCCTATCTTTGGCATAACAATTTGTTTTTAACCTGACTTTTTTATGCGATACACTGACACGCCGTTTTTCTTTAAGAATCGTGGCGATAGACGGCAATCAATGGGGGCCCCCCAACGGTCGGGGGCCCTACCTTACGTCCGTTACGCCACTGTTAATATAACATTTTTTACGTTCCGCGAAATCATGCCTATGAAAATTCGCGCGAGTAGAAGGACGAAATTAAACTCTCCTATGTGAAGTAAATTGATTTTACGCAATTTTGATTGTCGTACTATATTTTCCCGGAAATTTGTTTCGGGTTTGATCCGAATGGGATGTTGGTCAACTTAAGAACGGACAAAACAGCTATGTTACCAATGAAAGGAAGAACAGAGAGTGTTTCAATGAGTTAGATCGTGGCCACTCTACCACAATTGAAACTGCTTCCGGCGTCCAGGTACCTTTTAACGTCCTAACCATTATACGTTTACTTTCATTACGTCAATGATACAGCTGCGTGCGTCCAAAGTGATGATGGTGCCTTCATGGAGACTACAAACTACTTACATTCTGCATGTTATTGAAAAAAATTGCTAATTTTCTTAGTTTTAATTGTGTCTTACAATTTGTGCTGGTATAATTCAGGATAAATCCACCACTTCTTCCCCAATTGCCGTTCGTGTGAAATTTGATGAATAAATGGGAACTTGATTTCAAATCTTTAGGTAACTGATCTCCACAATATCGCCCCATTAGTCTTCTTGCACCCTTTAAATCATCGTTATAAACCTCCAGATATTCATATTCACAACTTTCCAGCTGAAAGTGAAGCAATTTCGAGTAAATCATGTCAGCAATATAATTATATGTAGTGTACTACACCTCAGATGCCTCGGATATAAACATTCAGAATTCGTGTGGTTTTTCACATTTCATTTTTCATTTTCTCCTTCTTAGGATGACCTTTTGGGTTATCACAATCTCTTCATTCTCGGTCATTCACCTAACTTTATCCCTTCCCTACATTTGATCCCTGGCTACACGAGCTATTTATCACGGCAATTTTCTTCGAACGCCTGGTGTATATGTTATTAAGTAATTTTAAACTAGAAACACATGCATGCAGCAACCCCTTGCTATTTCAAACCAAGTACACAATTTCCTGAGCTAACATGACCCAAAATTATATTATGAAAGAAACAAAACTCAGGCTAGATTATATTTTATCAAATCTAGCTATATTATACTTTATGGAGTATATTATAGGTAGCTAATGTTTCTATCATTCGGAATAAAAATAATCATAGAGCTAATATAAACTTTGCATGCCGTTCAATATTTGCTGCATTATGCCATGTCAGCAATTAAATAATGGTTTAAAATTGAAGTTTCAAACGATTAAAAAGGTATAAAATCTTCAGAGACAAACAAAAAACCTCAAATGTTATTTTATTCTGTGATTGCAGTCGACGGCTAAAAGTTTTACAGTGTGTAGTGATATTTGTCATATCAAAATTCAAATTACACTTTCCAAAAGACTTTTTGAATTTCAAGCGAAGGTGTTGGTCATGCCATACAAGGATGAAAATTATATAATAAACTGCATCCTTTCCGTGAAGCAAATACGAAATAAACACTGTCTTATTTAAGATTGCAGATTATGAACTATTTCTCTTACACCGCTTTGTCTGTATTCATGTTCTCCTTAGTTATCTGCCAAATATTCTTTATCATGTTTCTTCTCGTTTTATTTTGCACAAAGTTTATGAAACAGCAGAAACGTTTACAAAAGAGTTTACGATATGCCAGTTATTAAATTGCTGACGTTCTCGTTGAAATATAAACTTTCTGTCTTAGCCAAGCAGAACGTCGTTGATTACCAGTCGTTACTCGCGCATGTGCATAACTGACAAAACGTCGACCGTCTACCGTCCATGAAGAGGACAACTTTGGATCCCGCTACGCACTCCCAGGTTCCGGGTGTAATTCCTAATCTCCGGACGGAATTAGTACCCTCGCACGGTTCTCCGCACCGGCTCGGGGTTAACTCCGCAGCGAAGATATGCAACGTATATCGACGTATATTGTAGATAATTTACAAAATAACATACGCTAAGAGGAAAAAATCGGCGATAGAAATCGCCCGTGTAGCACGACTTTTCCCAATAATTCATAGAATAGGGCTAGTATTAGGATAAAAGATCGTAGAAAATTGACAACGCGGACCAATTTATTAATAAGGAACATCAATCATAAAACAATGGTTAACGTTACCTACCGAGAAATGAACAAAATGGAGGAGAATATCCGAAATTCCGTCAGCGTTATAAATTGTCCACTCGCAGTTCAGGTAATTGGGATATAAATTCGGATATCCTGGACTTTCCAGTGTGCCAGGAGTATACAGTTGAATCGCTCCGCACACACCTGCAGCAAGATAT